AGAGAGAGAGAGAGCAAACCTCAAAGAAGAAATAGGACAGAGAATCTGAGACACACACACACAGCGACATAAACGAAGAGAAAAACAAAAGCAAGGGAGGCATACCTGGGGATGGCAGACAGACCCCAACAGCGAGCTGTGCAGAAAACACTGACGCAGAGAGAGAATAAAAGGCAAGGAGAGATGGACAGAGATGCAGGGAGGCACAGGAGGGCAACACACAAGTGAGAGTCATAGAAAATTTGGAAAGGCTGGACCTCGGGAGGAGAACAGAGTGAATGAAAAGAAACCCTGTGGCAAAAGTATGTATTCCCAGGACGCTCAAGCTGGGGTCCACCTAATGCCCCTTCACTTTGAGGATGCTGAAATTGTAGAACATGGAGAAGATATGGATGTGGCCCCCGCGATCCCGGAGGCAGAAGTGGTGGTAGTGGGATAGGAACCCAGGTTTCCTGCCTGACAGACGGGTCCTCCACGCCTGTGCCCCTGGCATCCTTCCATCATGTCCTCTGGAAGTGTGCATACGGAGCTTGGTGATGACTGTGCTGAATTAAAACTCAGGGGACCTATGCTCTCTTTTCATCCCATTTCTCCCCCCAAAGATCCCAGATGGTCATTCTCTCCAGGGCTAGTGGGGCTCCAACCTGCCTCAGAGGGAACAGCTCCTCCAGGATTGTCCTCGGAAGAGACCAGCAACTGAGTCAAGGAGAATGAAGGAGGAAGACGAAAGTAACTAACATTTCCTGCAGGCCAGGCATTCCGGGACATCCCGTTTGTGCAGTTTCTCACTCAACGCTCTTCCCGACAGCCCTATGACACAGGAACCATTCCAGCTCCCTTTTTCCCAGAAGATGCTGTTGCACAGAGAAGGGAAAAATGACTTTCCCCAGGGCACGTTGTGAGTATGGGGCCGAATGGGGATGTGCCCCCAGCTCAGCTTGTCCTCCAAGCCTGTGCTCTCTCCACTGCCACAAACAACCTTTTTGGCTCAAGAGGAATAAAACTAATTTTGGTAAGGAACGAGCAAGCAGAAAATGAGAAACCCCAAGAACTGACACTGGAACTATTTTAAAACTCGAGACCAAGTCGGTCAGACTTCATGGGAGGAGAGCCGCCAGTGGGATAAGAGACCGGTCCAAACAATACCCTGGCTCCTTGTCAGACCGGCCCCGATCCCAGGGCCATTAACACAATCCAGTTCAAAAATAAAATAAAGAAGTATTCAGAGGTAGGGATAGCAGAACGTGTGACAAGCACATTTCCAGGACAGAAGAAAGCCTGTTCCTACTTCTAGCGGTGGGAAGCGGGTAGGGGGCTGTCAGGCAGTGAGCAAAAGAAGAGGCGAGGGAAAGTGTTCATTGCTTTTAAAGGATGGCAGTTGATTTGTCAGCTCCCAGTGTTAACTGCTTTGGGGTACCATAAAACATTTCACTGCTTTCTACATAATAGGTGTGTAGGATTCCAGCCTGGCTCACACGGATTCCCCACAATGTCACCCAAGGGTTACTACCAGTGTCTCAGGGGATAGGAAACCACCTACCAGGGCTCTGTCCCTCTCTGTGAAATGCTCTCTCCTAGCTGTTGGAGAATAGAGGAGGAGGGAGTTGAAATGAAGTATTACCACAACAAGGGCAATAGTGATAATAGTTAACACTGCTTAGGCTCCTACGGGCAACTCATCACCCGTGGAGAGCTTTTGCTCATTAGCTCATCAAAACCTCTCAGAGTCCCAGTGAGCTGGACATGGTGTCATCCACATTCTCACAGAGGAGGAGGGAATGGGGGCTCGGGAGTTGAGAGGCTCACTCAGTGCCACACGGCTGATAAAGTGCAGGGCAGAGATCTGAACCTCGATCTGCCGTGTCCAGTGTATGCCTTTTAACAAGGGACCAAGGAACCAGAGACCAGCCATCAGGAAATCATTCAAAAAAGCTACTTTCTTCACATAATCATTGTTCTTAGAGTTGGAGAGGGCCTCATAGCTCTTAATCTAGTCACATACTTGTATTTCATAGATGCAGTGACCCTAAAGCCCAAGGGGTCGGCGTCAGCGCTTACTGATGAAGACGGTACAGAGTCATGCTCTCAAGTTCCGGACCCCAAGTTATCATTTAAACCTCAAAGCAAATACAACCTCCTCTGTGCAGTTTGCCTGGATGTCCCACTGGCAGAGGTCTGATAGTCTACAGTACCTTGGGGATTCCCTGCCTAGACCTCTCACTGTCCCCAATTGATTTTGGCCATTCTGCAGAAAATAAGACGTGGGCCCCAACATCCATGAGACAGTGGCAGATCAGTCAGAAGGCCCGGTTTCCAGCTTACAATGATATTCCTCACTTTAGTGCATAATGTGTTGGTTGTTACCAATGAGCCTGAACATGTCAAGCATGCAGAAGAGCACCATGGTCTTTAGAAGCGTCATGGTCTTCCCGAGGGAGTGGGGACGGGATGTGTTTTGGAGGTAAGGGAGATTCACAGATTGTGGAGGGACTAATAGTTATTGAGTACATACTTAGATACTTTGCGAGGGTGTTTCTTATTTCATTCTCATGCAACTCTGCAACCTAGGTTTTATTATTTCTGTTTTATGGGGGTTCATAGACGTACTGTGACTTATCTAAGGTCACATAACTGCAAATACCACAGCCAGAGGCCCTTCACACCACCATTAGGTCATAAGTGATCTGAGGCTAGCACCTTTGTCTTAGTCACATGCGTACTTGCATTCTCTACACAGTACCAAGACACAGGGAATTCTCAGAATATGTCTGCTGAGTAAGTACATGAGTAATGAATGAGGAAATAAAATGCAAACGAATGAAAGAATTGATAGATAAATAAGTAAAAGAATGATGGAGTGCAAAATGGATGAATAGCTAGATAGATGAATGGGATGAACGAACGGATGGATGGATGGATGAATGGATGGATGAAAGAAAGAGGAATGGACAGAGGGATGGATGATTGATTGGATAGATGGATATGTGAATGAATTGCTGAGTGAGTGAATAAAGGAAAAAATGAATGAGTTAAATAACTAATAATTGTGATAATCACGATCACTTTGTTAACAACTGCAGCTTTCTGGTTGGTAAGACAGGTGTTCTATAGTTTCATAATTAGGGCACATGACGAGAATTGGTCTCTAGAACTCTATGTTATAGCTTAGGATGGCTGCACCCAGATGTGGCAATGCTCAATGAGATGGAAAACAAAAGAAAAATCAGTGCCTTTTTCCTCTGAGATTAACAGATGAGTCTCAGAATGACTTCCTTTTGCATCTCTAGAAGTTTGGATGCAACGACTCTTATGTACTCTATGAAGGCGTGATCATGGTGCTATTTCTAAGGGACTGCCTGGACCTAGCACAAAAAGCTTACATGTATATCCACTACCTATATGTGTATAAGCATGTGTCTGCATATATGCACATATATAGCATGCATATACACTTCAGAGGTGATATCATGCAGTTGAGACAAGAACACAAGGCAGGGAATCCTGTCTCAGTCCTCCTCGCTAACTTGCCATTTTCCTTCTGTGGTCTACAGATTCTTCATCAGTAGGAGGAATGGTTTTGAGTCCCTGGCCTCCCTGGGCCCTTGAGCACTAACCATGTATGATTCTGAGACTCACTGTGGCCACACTTGTCCAGTGGATACTTCTAAACCTTAGCATCTCAAGGTGCACACACACATGCTGGCCTACAAAACATTTGGTTGGCCTGGACAGATTCTTCACGCCTTTCCTGGCAGACTTATGAATAAAACTGCCCTGTCTGTTTCACACTCCCCACGCACCCAGCATGTCTTACTTGTAGAGACCGTCGGGCTCCAGACACTTGAAGATCACTGAGTAGATACTGACTGCGGGGACCTCTCCATGGCTTCGACCAGCTGCTATACAAGATGTGCCCAGGCCAGAGAGTAAGTCATCGGCAAAACTCAGGAATTCTCCTGGAAGGAGACAAAGAAAGATGAGCTCCCCAGCTCAGGCCTTGGTGAGCAGACATTTCTGCCATTGTCCAAACCGATCGAATGTTGGCACACCTTTATCAGGAGGATTAGTGAACAGAATAAGCACAAGGTATGAAAATAACACAGGTTAGTATATAGCTCTGGTGACTCTTGAAACTTATGCCTGAAATTTTCTCAGCTGTACAGTAGGGGTACCAATACCTACCTTTATAAAATTGCAGCAAGGCTCAATTGAGGTAAATTACTGTGTAATAAGCATGCGTGAAAAGGCAACAGGGGGACAGTGCTGTCTGTCCAGAGTAACTATTCTGATCTCTCATGACCACTGAGTTAACTGAGCATGTACCTTCCTTCTTGGAATTGCATTTCCCTTTGTGGTATAATGAAGAAGTTGGACTAAGAATGTAAAGTAGGTTTCATGTCACAGGGTCACTCTTATGCCCTGGCACTGGATTTATGGAGTGTTATGTGGAGATGGACAGAGGCCTGGTCTAGCTAAGGAGGTAAGAATTCCATGACTGATTAGTGATGATGGGCATGAGACGGAAAGGGACAGTGGAAGAAAAAGTGGCCCGGACTTCACAATTTCTAAATCACCTAGCCATCAGATTTTAGGAACCAATTGAAGTTTACTAGAAAAGGAGTAATGAAGATTAGATGAAGACTAGGAAGAATTATTGAACATTTGGAATCAATCCTGAGATTTTGTCTTAGCTTTCTCCTCTGTAAAGTGCAGGTGCTAGAATCACTATTAGGATGTTTGAAAAAATAAAATAAAAACATAGATGTGCACAATGGTGAAGTTATGAGGATAGGCACAGCAGCACTGTTTAAACGAGCAAGAATTTAGAAGCCAGAAGTCCAACGATGTACACACAGCAATATCAATTATAGTTCAATGATGCAATGGAACATTTTATAGCCATTAAAAATAAAATCGTGGAATAATACGAAGCTATATGAAAGGATATTCATGACATATTAAGTTTAGAAACAGGTTACACTATTACAGAAGAATATAATTTGGGGTGGAAGTTTTACATATGCCTCTATTTGAAAAGAGAAGGAAAAAAATATAGCAAGTGCATAATAGTGGCTTTGTCTGGAAAGTGAGATAATGGTACTTTTTTTCTCATATTTTTGCTTATCTCTGTTTTTTTAAAATTATCTACAATGAACACATATTGCTTTTGTAACAAGGGAAAAAAATCAATAAAAATTACTTAAAAATAGATAAAGTAAATGAGCCAGACTAAGTGGCCTCTGAGTTCTCTTCCAATTCTAAAATTGGATGATTTAGGAGCAAAACAGGCATGTGAGGTATTTTATACCACACAGTATGAAATGCTATGAGGCCTCCCAACTGTTGGTTTCTGGTTCTCCGTAATGCCTGATACAGAGTGCCTTACACCCTGTACTTGCTTATAGTCTCAGTAATAAAGAAGAGGAGGTGATCCATTCAACTCTATCTTCTCTACTTGGGCTTAGGACAAACCAATACAATGGAACCATCATGAACACTGATGTTGACCAAGTGTCTGAGAATACTGAGACTCAGAGAGGCCGCGCAACACTTCTCTCCCAGGGACCTGGGTGGGCAGAATATGCAGATGACTTCCCATCAGTCTTTCAAAGAAAAGTCCATTCTTCACTCACAAGTGAATCATGGAACACTTGTCTGACTGAATTGTCTGGATGGCCCAGGGATTCGGGTGAACAATCAATCTCTAACGGATTGGTCCCTGTGGTCCAATACAACAGATCTGATGAACGGTGTTTTTGTTTCCCACTTTGCAGAAAGACACCATACAGTTCATAGCCTTGATATGTAGATGCCAGAGTGAATGTCTGGAGCAGGCTGTCAAGTGATCAGGCCGCCAGCTGCTATTGCCAGACAGACTTGGGACTGAATTCTATTTCCACCCTTTATTGCAAATCCCTTAACCTGTCCAACTCTCAGTTTTCCTCTCTGTAACAAGGGGGCAATAACACTTTTATGAGCTTAGAGTCTAGAAAGAAAAGAGCTGAGTCTAGGAAGAAATCCTTTGTCTAGAACCAGAGCTTTTGCTAGAAAATAAAGAGATAAATGCAACTCATTTTCGTTACAGATTTTGGCATCCCCTATGTCTTCTGTCGGCTTCTTATATGAGCTTCTGTCACAATAAAATCACAAATGTGTCTTTTCTAATAGGTACCAAACCAGAGCAATGTATGGGGTGAAAACTGGAAAAAGACAAAACAGAAAAAGGAGGGAGGAAAACACGAGATTATTCACTGAATGGAGTGAGGGCTTTGTTTTTCTTGGTTTCTCAGGATTCTAAGTCTGGCTGCTTACACTTGTTTTCTTTGAGCTTGGATCCATGTCTGTCTGCTTTTCAATTTGTTTCCAGATAGCCATTGAAAGAGCTGGCCCTCCATGAGGGAATTCAGTATGCTGCGGCCTGTATTAGTTAACTGTCTTCAAGCCAAAAGACGGTTGACATTCATTTTCAGATGGCATAGCTTCCCAGACATTTATTTCCATGCATTTCAGAATAATTGAGACCATGGACAAAAGCCCCATAAATATTGTCACACAGTTCTAAGGTTTATAGGTTTCGTTCAAGTAAAGAAACTGGATAACGCAGAATAGATAACTCGTCACTTTAAGGACATATAAGGATAGTTAGGGCCCAATTCTATTCGGGACTCTTTATATGTAAGGACCTTCAAAGGAAAAGAATTAAAAGGAAGGAAGCTGACTTTTAGTACCAATCTTTCTATTTCTCTATTTAACCCTCACAGTATTCAATCCTAATGAATGAGTTAAATTTTCGTATCTCTGTTGAAAGCTGAGGTTAAGGTCACAAATTTAGGAAGGGACCGAGCTCAGATTTGAACCCATATCCTCCGATCTCCGAAGCCTTACCTTATCTTTTATACTATGCTGCCTCCTAGAGAAAGTTCAAAAAAATGATAGTGCTAGGAAGTGAGCTTTCTCAATTCTGTTCAAGTTGTGATTGAATTCACACCACTCTCTTAGCTCTATGGGCTTGGGGAATGAAACCATAAAAGAAATGGTCCCTGACCTTCTACAGCTTGTAATCTGACAACAGGAAGGGCTGTTAAATATAAGAACAGGCCCATAAAGTAAATTGTAATATTGCTTTTCTTGGCACTCTATTCCAGGAGGCTTAAATGCAACCTACATGGAGGCAGGTGACTGAAGCACCCCTCACTGTCCTTGCTTACCTAGTGGGGGTGGGAAATAGGAAAGGCCTGGGGGCTTCCCAATGCACAAATGCAAATCCATGCAATTCAGCACATGTATTGTGGGTCTAGGATATGGCCTACCCCACGTCTGGAAGGAGTACAGCTGAATGGGCAGTAATATGTTGCAGTGATTAAAAGGCTGGACTCCGAATTTGCACTGCCTAGGATTAAATCCTGGTACACCCTCACTCCTAGCTTGCCCTGGGCAGGTTCTGTTTTCTCATATGTAAAATGGGTATAGCAATAGCATCTAACTTACAGTGTTGTTCTGACTATCGTATGAAATGCTGTATATATTGTTTATGCACCAATTAGCACAGTGCCTGTCATACAGTAAGAGCTCAAAACATATATCAGCTACCATTATTGTTTATGTTATGATTGTGGTCCTAATTGAGGAGCGAGAGAAGGCCCCTTAACGATGGTTTCTTATCCAACCTGTTCCTTTTCCAGGTGATACAACTGAAGCCCAGCGAAGGAAAGATGTATGCCCAAGGCCATACACAAAGTGGGAGGAAGCCTTGGACCAAACCTTCTCTAACTCCTATAGCCTATGAGATCATTCATATCATCCAACCTATGAGACAATATTGCTGAGAATCGAAGAGTTTCCAAGGTTGCCCCAGAAGCCCTTGCTCCACACAGGCTCTGACCCACTTTATTCAACAGGCGCTTGAGCTGTATTTATGGGGCATATACTATGTGTCGGGCACTGTTGTAGGCACTCGGTTCCACTCTGCTGCCTTATTAAACTTGGACTCTCTGAGAAAGCTAGAAAGCCCAGGAGAGGCAGAAGGAGTTGAATAGGTTTCCAGCATGTAAGATAGTCTAACAGCAAATTAGAATATCTAGAACTCCAGCAGGGTAAGAAGGGACAACAAATGTGGCATAGGGCAAGTCTGTCTCCTCTCTCCCCACACTGACCTTCAACCAGGTCGACTCCACTTTGATCTATTTTATATATTCATGGTCCATGTTTTATTTAGGTTGGGGAAAAAACTGTTTTCAAAAGCCTGGCCTAAAAGTTTTATGGCTCAACATGTTTGACTCCTAAAACCCTGCCACATTCCCTGACAGAAACACGGAGGCTTAGGTATGTTACATCCCCGCTCAGGGCTTTGCAGCCACTCTGAGGCAGAGTCTGTAACACTGCCTTTTGCATCTGAGATCCATGTGCCTTAAACCAGGACACTCTTCCGAGGCTACCTCTGTCTCCTCTTCCCTGGTACACTGTTATGGCAAACCCTCTGCTGCCGCCTCACCATGTCTGTCCAAGACTCTAACATTCTTTTTCTGTTTTTCTTTCCTTGAAAACAGATAGGGAGTTGGGAGTCGCTGTACAAGAATGTGCCTGTTCCCCATTATGGCTCTTCTGGGGCTGTAACCCGAGTGAGCTCGGGCCAGACCCCCACACATTTCTTTACCCACTCAGACGCGAGCCTTGCTCTCATTTACAATCCACAGAAAAGGTCAATCGCGAGTCCGCTGCAGCTTCAGAACCAACCCAACAAAGCACAGAGCGGTTTTTCCAACGGCCCCACCTCCTACCTCCAGTCTCTCTCTCCTGCTCCTTTCATCAACCCTCTTCCTCCTCTTTCCCTCTCCTTCTCTTTCTCCCCTCACCCTCTCCCTTCTTATTGAGGTCACAGTCAACGCTGGCCACAAGAGCAAATTGAAAACAGGTTGGGAGAAAAGCAGCAAAGAAATTCCAAAATGGAAGGGGCGGG